ATTCCCATCCTGATCCAGAAGCAGGAGGCAGAGAGAGGCACACTGGGAATGGTGCAAGTCTTTTGAAACCTCAAAGCCTGTCCCCAGTGACACACCTCCTTTGAGAAGGCCACATCTCCTAATCCTTCCCAAACAGTTCTACCAATTGGGAACCAAGTACCCAAGCATATGAGCCTATGGGCCCATTCTCATCCAAAGCATCACAATAACTAACTAATTAATTTAGATTGTAATATTCCTAAGATTTTTTTTTGTTTCTCTGTTTTTCTGAGACAGTGTCTCACTCTGTGAGCAGGCTGCAGTTCACTACTCTACTTTTTTTTCAAATAGTAAATTTTTGTTTATTTATTTTTTGTTTTTTCATCTCAACCAAAGTTTCCCTTCCCTCCCCTATTCCCTATTTTCCTCCCATAGCTCCCCTCTACTCACTCTACCCACTCCTCCACTGTTTCTCTTCAGATATTAGTGGGCATCCCATGAATATCACCCAGTCACGGTATATCAAGTTGCATTGAGATTAGGCTCCTCCTCTTCTATTAAGGCTGGATGAGGCAATCCAGTAGGAGGGAAGGGTTTCAAAAGCAAGCATCAGAGTCAGAAACAGCCCCTGATCTCACTGTTAGGGGTCTCACAAGAAGACCACATTGCATAACTGTAACATATATGCAGAAGGCCTAGGTCAGTTCCATGAAGTCTCCCTGGTTGTCAGTTGAGTCTCTGTGAGCACCTATGAGCCCAGGTTAATGGATTCTGTGAGTTTTCTTGTGGTGTCCTTGACTCCTCGGGCTCCTAAAATCTTCCCTTTGTCTCTTAATCAGGATTCCCTGATCTCTGCCTAATGTTTGGCTGTGAGTCTCTGCATCATTTACTGGATGAAGCCTCTCTGATGATAGTTGGGCTAGGCACCAATCTATGAAAATCGCAGAATATTATTAGGAATCATCTCATTGACTTTTTTTTCCCTTCCACTTGTGTTTGGTTCTATCCTAGGTCTCTGGGATATCCCACCTGTGGATCTTGGCTCTCAGGGCTGAGCTCCCTCTCAGGGTAGAGGTCTCTAGCTGGGACAATCATTAGTTGGTCATTCTCACCATTTCTGTGGATCTTTATCCCAGCACATCTTGTAAGCAGGATAAATTGTAGGTCAAAGGATTTGTGGCTGGGTTGGTGTCCCAGTTCCTCTGCTTGAAGTCTTGTCTGGTTCAGGAGATGGCTAGTTCAGGCTCCATATCCCCTATTGTTAGGAGTCTTAGCTAGGGTCACTCTTGTAGATTCCTGGGAGTTGCCATTACCCTGGGTTTCTAGCTCATCCCAGAGATGCCCCAGATTCCAGTTGTCTCTCCCAGTACTCTCTCCTTCCATCCCCTCCCCACCTGATCCCTCCTGTTCCTATCCCCATTCCCCCTTCTAGGCCCATCTCCCCATCCATTGGCAATGTTCATTCTACTTTCCCTTCAGAGTAAGATTCATGAATTCCCCACCTTGAGCCCTCCTTGTTACTTAGCTTCTCTGTGTCTGTGGGTTGTAGCATGTTTCTCCTTTGCTTTACAGCTAATATCACTTAATGAATGAGTACATACCATATTTGTGTTTTTGAGTCTGGGTTATTTCACTCCAGATGATCTTTTCTAGTTCCATCCATTTGCCAGTAAATTTCCTGATGTCATTGTTTTTAACCACAAAGTAATATTCCATTTTATAAATGTTCTACATTTTCTTTATTCATTCTTTGGTTGAGGGGCATCTAGTTTTTTTTTCTGGCTATTATGAATAATGCTACTATTAACATAGTTGTATAAGTGTCCTTGTGGTATGATTGAGTATCCTTTGGGTATATGGTCAAGAGTGATATTGTTGGGTCTTGAGGTAGATCAATTTCCAATTTTCTGAGAAACTGCTGTATTGATTTCCAAAGTGGCTGTACAAATTTGCACTCCTACCAGCAGTGGGAGGAGTGTTCCCCTTGCTCCACATCTTCTCCAGCATGAGTTGTCACTTGTGTTTTTGATTTTAGCCATTTTGACAGGTATAAGATGGAATCTCGGTGTCGTTTTGATTTGCATTTCCCTGATGGTTAGTAATACTGAACATTTCTTTAAGTGACTCTAGGCCATTTGAGATTCTTCTGTTGAGAATTCTCTGTTTAGGTTTGTACCTTATTTCTAAATTGGATTATTTTGGCTTTTGATGTCTAGTTTCTTGAGTTCTTTACATATTTTGGGAATCATCCCTCTGTCAGATGTGGGGTTGGTGAAGATCTTTTCCCATTCCTTTTGATGGTGTCCTTTACCTTACAGAAGCCTTTTCACAATTCTACTTTTAACAATGAAAACTCTAATGCATAAAATTCGTAAGAGTTAAAAGTAAATAGCAAACTGGAAAAACATTTAAAACAAGTGTTAGCCAGGCAGAGTGATGCACACAAATAACCTCAGCATTGGGGAGGCAGAGACCTGAGGGTCATGAGTTCACATCAGCCTGGGGTATGTGAGACCCTGTCTCAAAACGAGCAAAGAATTTTACTATTGTAAGTTAATATAAATGCTATGAAAGTAAAGTACTGGGTTCTATAAGAAAGAGAGTCCTTCCTGATAGAAGCACAGACAAAGCATAAAAGGTGGTAATTCATGAAGTAACAGTTAGAATGGTTCATGAAGATGGAAAGAAAATTCAACCTGGAAATGCAAATGAAAACTGTAAGAAAGTTTCACCTAAGTGATTCAGATCCAGCACTCAGATGTCTTCCTCAAACATCATTTTGATGACTGAAAAAGGACACAAAAGGCAAAAATACATGGGACCAAGAGACTGGCTGCCAAGACAATGAGAAATGTGGCACCTAGGAAACAGGTGAGCAAGTGCCACTGAGCTGGCAGACTTTCTCTTCCACCTGCAGGAACAGCGCCAGTGGAGACTGACGGCCCCCTTGTCCTTCACGTGCACAGCCGCTGGAGGTGCTGGGATTCAGCAGGCAGGGGTGAAGGGAGGGTTGACGGAGGATAAATTCTAACTGTAGATGATGTCAGCCAGTGGCAAATTGTGGGTGTTTCTGTGTTTGTGAGTTTCCTTTATCGGATCGGCCCTCTCCATTCTAAATAGAACCTTTCTTTGTTCATTGTGGAGTGCGGAATACTAAATAGCAATGACACTTTCATTTCCTCTCAACAAAGCTTTCAAAATATCTTCCCTTGATGTCATTGGGAGGATGTTTAAAACCTGTTTAAAAG